GCAATACATAGCTTTTTCTTGACTGAATAAAGAGTTAAATAGCGGAAGAGGCGAGATTTGGTAATTTTTGGCGGGCTTTGGACACGTTTTGGCGGGATGACGATTTCACTATTCGACCGAATCCATTTGATCGCTTGGTCTCTGTGTTTTCTGCCTCTACTATGACATCTTCATCTAGTAACAATAGTATTCCGCAACCTGTCGTCATTAAATAACCGAAATTTTTTATGTAGCCCGTTTGCACACGCTTTACATCATTAGCAGCAGATCATGCATAATAGTCACCAAACAAATGCAGACGGATTAGAAGATCTAACGTTTTCAACATCAAAATGCCTACCAGACTGCCGATGAATATTACTACTTACACGTTTGTCGTAATATCGTTAGGCTCAGAAACATTTTGAAGGCATAGGAAGACCGTCTTCTTCTCGTAATGTGATAAATCGAAAGACGCACACACCGTCCTTTACGTTCATCTCAAGAATGCAAAGCCGGCTTTACATGTATTCGATCAGAGGTCAAATCATAATGTCACACTACTTCCATATAAAGAAAAAGTCAATTATTATTTCCATTGTTTTGGTTAAATTTTTAACTATAGTGCGTTGAATGTACAAGATTCCATCATACGAACACAACACACCAGCGCTTGCGTGACACGCGATTCACTGCGGAAACTGCAGTTTAGCAAGCTCACGCCAAAGAAATTCGTTTAATCTGCCCACACAAAGCCTCGGAGATCAATGATTGCAATCTGCTTTGGCATCCATCTTTCCTTTACGATGAGTAGTATGCTGTGTGTTCAAGGAGTGCGGGTTTAACATAATAAAGATTTTGAATCAACGCTTTTACCTAGCAACATTCGCCCGATTCTATTTGTGTTCTGCGACCTTCAATACGTACATTCAATACAATATGGAACTACGCTACATTTTACTGAATACTGGAAAAGACCAGAAAAACAACGCTTGAGTCGTAGGCCACGCGCGATTATTCTGGATAACTCGTGAGCTAAGAACGCAAATCTCTGGCTTATGTTAAATTGTAATCTCTTCTCAATTACTCTATCGCCAGATGCCGCCTTAATCTTGTTAAAAAAATTGACGCTTATCGAATGACTGACCACTGATGATTGGACCAAACGGTAAAGAAACTAATTGCTTTTCGCAGTAGGAAGCTTATTGCTTGTCACTCAAACCCTAGCGTCCTTAACAACGCCAGCGTCCTGTGGTGTACAAAAAAAAGTCGTATGCGGGTCCTCATGGACCGAACTATGATCAGCTAGGTGTTATGTCACAAGTGAAACTAATAAACTCGCGGATGATTTGAATTAAACTTTTTAGGTCTTATCTTGGCGGCGCATTGGCAACGTGAGATCGCAGTAATTTCAAGGAAACTCCAATTACTCAAGATTTTTTAAAGTTTAATGTAAGCTTGAGCCATCACTACTTTCCAATTAAATTTTTCTAAGAAAACGTTTATTGCAATTAGGTGTATAATTGCCTTACGTACTGACCACGTGTGTTAAAATGGCTGGAAAAAGATACCCACATGTTTACAATAATTACGGACGCAATAAGGGTAACTTTTAATTTTGGGTCCGCTATGATGAAAAAAAGAAAACGGACGAAAACATCATGAAAATCTTAGTGCAAGCAAACCCTTCATTTATATATCACTCTTCTGTAAAATGCGGGATAAATGAGGAGGAAAAACATTTCCTCATGTTCAAAGTTATTTTTTTTATTTTTATTTTATCAACTTAAATGTCATTAGCCAAGGCTAGGTATTGTCGCTGCTAATTCTTCAATCTGTTAAGCATCACGATCCTGTTTCTAACAAAAACAAAACAGCTGAGTTTAATTTTGTTCTTTGAAGTTGTCACAAGGGGAAGAGATGTTTAGCAAAAGTTGAGAAGTTTTTCAAGCTGACGCTAACTTTACTTTTACCACTGCCAGCCTGGTGAAACTAACGTAGTCTCCGATGATTTTAATGAGTTTTCAGTAGTAAAGGAAGTCTTAACAGTCGGCAAACGCGTCAA